ATATATATATATATAACTACCAGAAGACTGCACATTCTCAGTTGAACGATTTAATGGAGGGCAGCTCTGCCTCGCCCATGTGACAATGTCTGGATCCGCCGTCTGAACTGGTTTCAACTAATGTGTGTGCCAAGGGGGTCATATAGAGAAAGCAAGATGCAGAGCCAAGAAAAAGGACAGCGACGTGACTAGCTCACATGACTTCTCGACTTTTGTGCCAGAGGCCGAATCTAACAATACAAAGCAACAATAAACATGTTGCGAATCAATACTTCCTCCTCCGACAATGTTGAAAATGTTTTTATTGTTGTCATTGTAGAATTGTAAAATAAAATGATATTGGATTGTGTTTAATTGACCCTTATGAATTGCTTGATAAAAGAGTCGAGTTTATATGTGACATAATGATGCTTGTTTTGTTCTCTTAGTGTCATCTTGTCGTTCGGCATAATTCCTTTAATTGTTGTACAAGTGTGCTTTCATCAGGTTCTAAATATGATGGTGTCTGCATCTTAACTCGTCAGCCCCTCGAGGAGTCCTACCAGATTCGTCGTCCGACTTGTTGTCATTCTCAGAGTCGGTGAGGGTCAGAGCAGAGTTCTCGTGGCTGGACACACCGGAGCTGCGACGGGACTTCACCCTTCCTCCTCCAGCCCAAAGCTGGATGGCTCTGTCCGGTGACAGGGGGCCATCCGGGTCAGAGTCTGCATCGGAGCCAGCGCTGAGGGAATAACCCCTTTGGAGGAGGCCCAGTTCAGGACAGTAGGGGACAGCAGCGGGATGAGGAGCAGGTGTTTGATCGCACACTCCCAGTTCAGCCAGGGTAAAGTTCCCTCCTACGAGCAAGACATAGCAGTTACACAGGTGGAGTGAAGGAATGAGGTGGCTAAGTGCAGTAAAAGTGGTAAATGGAGCCATTTACACGAGTGCTGACACAAACAAACACGCCAACTGGCATACAAATCTACAACCACACGCAGAGAGGCAAACTAATTATAAAACTATGGAGGAGGTGGCTGAGAATTGCAATTGTTGATGCACTCAGGAGAGGAGAGATGACACAGCGTGAATCAGCCACACACTACAAAGAGCTGCTGGAAGTAAAAGCGTTTGAGGTGGTCTGCAGGCTTGTTGTGAGCATCTTCGATAGTGTTGGTCCATCACTTTGTGTCTCCTCATTTGCACTCAAAAGTCCTTGATCAAAGTGTTGTATGAACGGAGCTGCGATATTACCTTCCGGTCAAAACATCTCACCTGGAAATTTCTGCATGCGGCATCCGAAGGTTAAGCGAACAAAATGCAGTCTGAAGCAACACCAGCATTGCTTCAGATTATCCCCCACCTCACCCGCCCATTTGAGACAAACTGACTTGTCTCACCTCAAATAAACATAGAAAATTATCCAAATTAAAGCACATCAAAAGAGATCAATAGCAAAGCATTGCAGCCCAATTAAATCCAAGCTGAAGAAAAAGCAATTACGGGAAAAAGGCATGCTCAACCAACTTATCCTTTATAGTAATTAAAAGAGTATTGTGGATGCAATCGCTCATGATCAGCTGTTGGGGTAGAAGGATCAGTGGGGAAAAAACAGTTGCGTTTCACTTCATTAGCAGATTGTGAGGAAGGCGAAGGGGAAGGGGGATGAGACTGGCGACAAGGAACTGTCACGGTGGTGGCATTCTATATGAATGGGCGCGCTGAGAATCACACAGCTGCGTGACTCGGTCAACTGTGACTCATCAGGAGCAATCAGAGGGAGAAGAATTAAAGTGATGAAATTCATCTGCTTGATCTCCTCGTCTGCTCTTTAAAAGCTTGGGGGGTTGAGGTGGGGGGGGGTGTCTGAAAAAGTGAGCAGATGCATGGAGCGGGAACGCCTCTCGGGAAAGTTGGAGTGGTAAAAGGAAGTTATTTCTATACACAGCCACAGTGAAAAAAAATTACACGTCTGCATCTAGCGAAAACTTGCTAAGCTTTTAACTGACTGCACGGAACCAAACCATACATTACATCAACGAATATTACCAGCTGCCTTCTTCTTCGGTTGTCTTCCTCCCACTTCAAAAAAAAAAAGTACAGAAATAAGATACATACAATACAATACATATTTATTTACATAGCGCTTGCACAACAGCTGCAACAGTAACAAAGTGCTTTACAGAATATTTAACATGAAACAAGAACACAACACGTAGCATAAAACATCAACAATAACATCGACAATTCCCAACGATTTCTACATACGCCTTGTTGTTCGAAGCGGTTATCGATGAAAGAACATAACAGCGAAATAAAATGACTGGTGAATTTACTACAACTACGCAACTCTAAAATCGATTTCTACTACAATGCTATTCTCTAAGCACAAGCTCTTTATCCTTGTTGTCCTTGTTGCTGTTATCATACCTGAGATGAAGTATCGAAGGACGGGAGAAAATTCCAGGAGGCCTGGGAGAGTAAAGCAGACGAAGAACCCACGGTGAGGAATCTAACGTTGTACCGTGAAAAACGATTCTACAACTAATTTGTTTTCAACCACCAAGCTAGGATGACGGTAGCCACATGACAAAGAAAGAAAAAATTTCCCCTCCGCTTTACACACTGAATTTTACCACACATTATCTACTTGCGACATCACACGGGCTGTCAATCCACGCAATTAACATCCCACAAACAGTGATTACACATGAAACATCCAATCACTCTGTAATCCCAGGAGTGGTTGGCCTAGTCCTGCGCTCGAGCAATCTACATGAAGTCAAAAAAGATGGATTGGCGCGAGAGTCTGCAGCAGACATGAAAATCTATCTCAGTTAGTTCATAACTCGAAACCCAATAACATGTTTTGTTCGTTGATATTATGACAAATGTGGAGGGGGCAATGTGCCACATTTTAATCCGATCAATGTCCTCCTCATTGACACCATATTTCAATTGTGTGTAGTGTATGGTATTGTTTCGCCCTCGTGGGCCACAGTATCAGGTAGACCAGCACAAAGAAGGAAAGGAAGAGATATAAAAAGCAATGCCAATGCAGCCAAATCAGGTCGTCAAAAATCTCACCAACTACGTATAGACGACAACCTCATCATGAAACGCGTTGTTCAATAGATACTGCACCTTTCTGGCAACGTCAATCAAACTGAACGTTAATCTTCTGCAAAGGTGGATTTTTTTTGTTGTTGTTTTTTTTTTTTTTTTTTGGATAGAGTACCAGTAGTTGTAATTGTAAATAATTGTGCAAGTCTATGTAATGTGGTCAGTGAGTTTATTTGCATGCTCTCTTGGAGGTATTTTTCATTATGTTTATGTTGCTGCTGTTTTTTGCCCACTGGCCATTGAACATCAATGTTTCAATTGCAAGTGCCTCTACAGTTACCGTAAATAATTGATAAACTATCGGTGTAAATGTAAAGATTATAGTAGGAAAAGTAATGATGACACAACTTTTCCAAAATAGTAATAATTTACAATACAGACAACGTCACAACATATGTTTTTATTTTGATTCATTATTATGTGTGGCGATGACAAATAAATGGATTTCATATATGTCATGTTTATTTTTTTCATGTCTTTTGACACAAGGAATTGTAGCGTGACCGGAAGCCGCAGAGGGCCCCCATAAAGTGTTGCCTCTCATCATTTGGGGCTCACGCTTCACAGATCATATATAAGTTACACAAGTGTATTAGGTTGATACTCTGCCGTAGTTTGCACTCATCCATTACGCTAAATGTACTTCCCCTGATAAAAGTCATTATGGAAGTGCGTGGTGGCAAATGTGTGTAATTTGCTGTCTCTGTGTGCGTGTGTCCACATGTAATTGTTTGTGAGTAGGCACTCTTGTGGGATCGTACTGCCTGTCATTAAAAAATAATTTGTGCTTGTTAGCAGTTTGACAGGCAAAGTCTGTTTGCAGTAACTTTACGCTGGTTGTTGTCCTCTCATTCCATCCTTCCATCCATTGTCTGAAACCGCAGCACACCTTGCAACCCTCGTAAGCATTAAGCTTACGAGGGTTGCAAGGTGTGCTGGACCCTATCCCAGCTGTCTTCGGGCAGTAGGCGGGGGACACCCGGAACTGGTTGCCAGTCAATGGCAGGCCACACATAGACAACTATTTGCATTCACAATCACACCTAGGGACAATTTAGAGTGTTCCATTAACCTGCCACGCATGTTTTTGGAATGTGGGAGGAAACCGGAGTACCCTCAGAAAACGCTCACAGGCACAGGGAGAACGTGCAAACTCCACACAGGAAGGCCAAAGCGCAGATTTGAACCTTGGACCTCTGGACTGTGAGGCCGACGCGCTAACCAGTTGAACACTGTGCTGCCAATGCGCCTACTCCACATTGTTTGATTCTTCAAAAAATGTTATTCCTTAATTTTTTTAAAATATTTTATATATATATATATATATATATATATATATAATTTTTTTGGGTGCATGTAAATACTTCATGTTTTTCTAATAATTCTTTCTAATAACAAATAAAGGTTTTCTTATCGTATCTTAATAATTGTAACTTGCAATGATGTTGCTTTTTTTCCCCGAAAACCAAGAGGTTACATGGTGCAGGCCAACCACCAAGCAAGCATTTTGAGCTTTGGTGGTTTACAGTGCATTCAGATTTTTTTCTTGATTTCCACACTTGTATTATGTTTTTTAAGAGGAGTTCCTCTTTTCTGAGAAAATGCCTGTTTTTTAGATTATTTTCAGCCATTTTTACTGGTAGCCATATGGCACATTTTACCAAAAGTTCACATCTCGAAACAAACTCGAAAGTCCGTCAGTCTATCACTGACAGATCCCCATTTTGCTGACGAGTGACAGAAAACTTTAAAAATAAGGACAACTTGACGTGAGTGAGTTTTCATCCATGAGTGTATGTGTGTGTAAAGTACTTTGGACAGGTAGCATATGATGAAGATACACTCATATATCGTGCACGGCATTTACCATTTTAATCAAATCGGACTTTTCATCTGGTGGACTACGACGTGTTTTTCTTTTTTTTTGTTTTGTTTTTTTGTTTTTTCAGGGGACTGACGATAGACTGACTGGCGCATCGGTGAAATTCACTGCCGGAAGCAACGGTGGATGTGCGGTTAAAACAACATGATGGAAGGACTGGCTGACGATTACAGTTTGGTTCGGCTTGAAATAATGACAGAGTGATGTTGACGGATCGTGCCCAGGCAGCTGACGAATGGGCAAAATTTTGAAATTGCCCACCTCTGGTAGTATTTACCATGCATGTTAGGAGGACATTCACTTATGAGCCGACTCCGACCAGGAGTCATTTAGTCATGAAAACACCATTTACAGCTTCATTGATAAATAATGCCATTCAAATACCAACAGTAAACAAACACTTATCTCATTGCGAACTTGTCTTGTCTTGTCTAACAGCATAATCTTTTAGGTGAGGACAAGATGACTGTTTTTGATCTAAAAGAGGACGGAAGCCATTGAATGTGCCTGCTTCTGATGCCATTGACGCTTCACTTGCATGTTGAAATTCTTCGTTTGCGCTCTTGATGGATCCAGTCACACACTGCTCTACGCTCATTAAAGATTGCGGATAGCTCTCATGCGCACGCATACATATAAATCTTATGATCACAATTCAGCCGCCATCAGACTGTGGTCTGTCACAAGCAAATGTTTATGTAAATTGCTACTTCTAAAGTGCAGCCTCTTTGTTACCATTGTAATAGCATTAGAAAAAAAAAAGACGATGTTTGTATAAACATGCAAAAAAGGGCTCCAGAGACAATTGCGGGAGTTTGAGATAGTGAAAATTCATTAATTTTCAAAGATGCG